ACAAAGTGTACGCAATAATATCTAACCTTGGTATAAACTATAATAAAATAAGCATTTTTGTTTCGTAAAATTGTCTTACCCTACACGTTTCTAAGTCAGTTAACTTAGATGTTCGTGCATTGATGATATACGACCAATACCAATTGTCACATTTCTCCACAGACTTATGAACAAGTGTTTCTTGGAGAATGCAAGTCAAAATTATGGAATGTTTTGTGCTATTATTTTGCAATTTGATCTGTCAATCATATTTTTCACTTAAATCAGCAATCAAAAAATGTAACAGATAGCAAATCAATAATACAATAATAATAATACATATATTTGTAGAATAGAAAAATAAATAAATAACTTCATTTGTGGTAAAGAATAGATTGAATCAAATGTGTAATAAAAATAAAAATCGAAAGCAACAAATTCCAAAAGTGATTACCGCAAGTCATAAAATACACATTAACATTTGATGGAGAAGAATCGCAAATTGTGAATTGCCAAATTATTTTAATTTTCTATTCTGATTTTAATTGGCAGTCGCATTAGAACGCTTCAAAAGTTAATCAAAAATTTGCAAGATGCTTGAAACTTAAACTTAAACACAAATTGGAAATTCACAACTACTAAGAAAGCGATGTTGAAATATCATTATATGTCAATGTCATCCTGGTCGTACTGTCAGATAAGCAATTAAAAACACCAATCATTTGCACTTATTAAATTATTATAATCTACTTGAAGAGTTTTAATTTGATTTTATGGTGTAGACCAGTGGTTCCCAAACTTTCTAGAGTCGGGACCCACTATTTATTACCACAGCTTATGACGACTCACTTAACTTTGATTTTCTGATAAAGGAACGCAAAAGACCTCTTCCAAAAAAAACACCATAGTGTTATTCTTCAAAAGAAAATAAATCTAAATTCTGTCTAAATTTCGGGGAAACACGGTAAAAAGTGCTGTACAGTGTACAAAACTGCTATGCGTAAAAAAAGCCAAATGGTCATTCTTCGAGTAGCAAATTTTAGTTCTTTTGAGAAGATCGTAAAAAGGAAACTTCCACAGATTAGAATTTAAATTCAATTTTTTTTTTTTTTTTTTTTTTTTAAGATTTACGTATTCGATTTGCCACCGATCCTAATAACCAGTATAATTAACCAAAGCTTTCTACATCTTTTCACGACCCACTAAGATTCCTTTTGCGACCCACCAGGGGGTCGCGACCCATAGTTTGGGAACCGCTGGTGTAGACTAATGGATTTATTTAAGTTTAAGGTTATTTAAGTTTAAGGTAAGAATTGCACTTCAGACTTTAAGGGGCTTGTCAACAAAAACTCAGAGTATTGCTTATTATACTATAGGATCAAATTCCAATCTTATGAGTTATAAAATTATCACATTGGATAAACGTTTGATTCGTAACTGATACCATCGTTATACCTATTTTTAACATGCTGTGTTGTGAAACTGAACACCCAATACATGGATCTGTTGCTCGATTAACAATGCATCGTCGGACATAAATAAAATGATCAACTGAACACGGTACAATTTCATTTTGTGTAGGATGTCGTCTTATTGTTTTGTTTCGGACAACCAGGAAATCGAAAATCTTGAAACAAGTCAACATATGTGGTAATATTAAACTTTTTCTGTCTCTTAAATCGGGATTTATTCACAACCCTTATGAGACACCAATGGCACATTTTTGAAGCACGCAAATAAATTGTTGAACAGTTTGTGCATAAACCAGATAAAAACTAATAGTTTCCTATCGTTGACTGGATCGCAGTTTTCTCCCAGCAACACTCCGTGAGACCGTCATTCTACTGTGAAGATCTTTATTTTGCATTAATAAAATAAAATCTACCAAACTACTGCAAACACAAACAAAGTATATATAGAAGTGTACAAGAGCTAAGGTTTTCCTATTTTCCATATTCAAACAAAACACCAAGGATATTATTTCTCAATAAAATACACCCAACTGATTACTCATGTTCTATATACGACAGCAATACAAACTATAATGTACATTATACTACTGATTGATCACTTTATAAAATCGTGTGTTTGAAGTTGAACGTAGGTGTCTTCTTGTCAAAAAGCGGAATAAACTCCGACAATATACGAAAAGAATTTGTTATGAAGTCGTATTGTTTACAGAAACATAATATTTAACCGCGTGACTGGACCGGCCTTTTGTAAACTATCGAAGAACAAATAACCGTATGATATATTGATGATATCATTAAAATGATGAATGATGAGTTTGCGTCGTCATTATATTTTGAACAAATATATATGATTTTAAATTAATGTACATAACTAACCTTATATAGTATGTTATCACATCATAATTACTTTTCGTCAGTTTACCAAACAAAAGGAAAAAATAAAGCTTGAAATGCAGTAAAAGGAAGCTTACATAGTGTTTTAAATCAGTTATATTTTATATGAATAAATTATTCGATTCTACAATCGTAATATATACTCCTGCTGTTACGACAGTAGTGTGTTAGACGTATCGGTTATATTGGCAACTTAATCCATTAGAGTAGGAGAGGGCTGGACTAACAGTCCAACGGTGCCGGGCTCGAGGTAATAGTGCGAATTGTTTTGTTATTGCTTTAATATTGAGTTGTTCATATCCATGACAGTCATGGGAAATCGTCTCAGTAACCGGGTTGTGCCATCACTTCTCTAGTCATTTTCAAAGCTCACCTGCGCTATACAGCGGGAATTTTTGTCGCGATAGAATAAGAAATTGGTATTTTAGACGGCACGTTTCATGCAAAAACGGTGATTTGGTATATATATTACCTTACAATTTTTTCTACGAGTATGTTTGTATTACAAAAAAAATATCGATTATGAATGGGTGTTCTTTCTGTGACAGTAGATAGTAAGAGTTTTTTACGACAAGTTGGGGCCCATGAATAGATTTCCGGTAAGGTAATTTATGAAACATATCATATATATACTTGTGAAGTTAGCGAGAATAAGTCACGTCAGTAGTCAATAGTACAGACAATTAGGCCACAGACAATTATACATGCTTGTAGCTGCCCAGCAGAACTCAGTGTTGATGCCAAGCATTATTGTTTGTGGCGCTATTGACTTCAATCGAATGGGCAAGTTTTTGCCAAAAACATCATCATTACATCAGCAAAGATTGTTACTGACAATTACAAGTCAAGAAAATAGGTGGATCAAACAGCGATTACTAAACTTGTAATGTTTTGTATATTGCTGAGGCAGTTAACAACATAACATGTTTTCATCCGGATGGCGGAAGAAAAAGTGTTTAGGCGGGCGAGCAGCAGGACCCGGTGACATGAATGTTTGATTCAAAACCTACTCAATGTCATGATCAAACTTTGTAGTATATTAGACTAACGGCCTCGGGAGTATGGAACTGAAAAGTGGTCTACGACAGTGGTTCCCAGGCTGTGGGTTGCGACCCCGGGTGGGGTTAAGTGAAGATTTTTAGAGGTCGCTTAATTTCTGTTAAACATGCGCACACAATTGACTAGGATTTAAAAATTAGAGAGTAGGGTAAATTGGATTTTTTGCAAGGCTTCGAGAAATTTTGTTGGTTTGTTATTTTGTACCAGTGTAGTCGCTTGGTTATTGAATATACAGAGCAAAGTTGCTTTATGTGGCGATTGGTGCTTATTTAAGTATGGTATTGACAAGTACGACAAGCGATGTCTTGACCGAGTTATCCCACTTAAGGTTTTGATCAGTTGCGAAAGCGTATTGTTAATTAGCGCACTTGTCCAAAATCTACAAATAGTGTGTTCTACGTGTTTTCGTCCACATCGCCTCCGCATAAAAGTGAACATTTTTACATATTTTTACACCGTAGTTTTCATACCATGCCTTTTGAGGATTCCCTTTAATCCATGCATTGTCGGGCCCGCTCATATATCTTGTGATCAATGTTCATCATCCACGTCCACTTGCAATCGATATAAAGGCACATTGTTCTTATTGATAAATTTTAATTGAATATACTGATTTTTGAATTTGCTGAACGTTTCTGATTGGGGGGTCGCGAGTATCTGTATAGTCTTTGATATTATAAAAATTGTGATCGCGAAAAAAATGTTTGGGAACCCCTGGTCTACGACATTGAAGATTCTGGTACCCTATTCAATTTCGGATCAAATTAAACTTTTGTGCTACAACTAGAATACGGTACAATAACACCCCTTTGGTTTAAAGTGCCAGATGTCAATTTTGTGACATGTAAGGTCAACGACTGCCTGATGTTTGCAGTACTCATGTTGCACGAACGACCCGATTATGCCTATATTTGTAATAGTCTATCCTTTGTTTGTCCATCAAGCAAAAAATGATATTCATTCACTAAACCTTTCGTCGAAGTATTCGTACCAAGATGGCGCAAAGCCTGAATATAATAAGTGTAGCCGGTTAGGGTCCAGGATGTGCATCATCTTGGTACTAATACTTCCGGAGCGCTGCGAAATCGGAGGCAAAAGTTTGGCAAGGTTGTGTGGTAAACCACTTCATGAATTTTCCTCTGGCTGACTGGAGTACCATACTCTCCAGAGAATGAAGCACTCGTATACTTGATTTTGTTTCATGTTCAAAAATAGCTCGTACTCTTTTTTAGGCTGACGTGCAAATCGCAACATAGAATTAAAACTGGGAAAGTCAGAGCTAGCACGAACACATTTAAGGATATAGCGATACAGTGGAAAACCACTAAATTTACCAGCAGTGGAGTCGTGACTGCAAGTAGACCTTTCCGTTTGCGAATGAGTGCTGTCAGTTTTATCACCAGTTTACATGATGGCTAAAATAAAATATCTTAAAAAATATAAAATATCCACTCGATATAATATTAAGGCTTTTTATCGTAAGCTATATATTCTTTATGCTGCGATGACATACTCAAGGCCGCAGGTTTACGTAGCAGTGTATGACTTGAGCCTTGCTTCAATGCCGAAAATGTGACTGGTCAGACACGCGGGGCCGAATTTGTCGGAGTTAGGTGCCAAATTCGTCGCATCTATACATTTTTCATTGACATGCATTTTGCTGATATAATATGTGGAAGACTGTCTTCTGAACTCTATGCCTTTTATCACTGCCAAGTAGACTTATTTTAACATAACCGCGAGATAGTTGTTTTCATTAAAACCGTTTTGTATGTTACGTATAATTCACTGTTTATTTAACAACCGTATGATTGTTTTATAAATATGCAACAGTTTGTGTATTTTTACATCGTACAAGCAGTGAAATTACGCAATGATGATGTAAAAATACGTAATAATAGTTGCACTGTAAAATTATTTTCCAACATATTATTACCGTGCTAAACTCTTGAAATTAAAGTCAGTGTTTGACGACCAGGCCACAAAGACAATGCGATTCTACATGATAACCAGCATAGTTGCATTTGCTTTTGGCTTTTTAATGGCAATACAAGGTAAGGTATTATGGTAACTACTGAAATACAGTTTTCCCCTTTTACATAAGTTTATTAATATTATAAACAGATATTATTATTAATACACTGTTTTCGCGTTGTGCATGAATTTATTATGTAGACCAGTGTTTCCCAACCCCAGTCCGCGGTCTCAAATGAGTCCGCGGAGCGTTTGAATGAGTCCGCAACGAGCCAGAAATTCACTGCGGGTCGCAAACGTTTTTGCGAAACTTAACCATCAGCCACGATTTACGCTAGAATTTACATAAAACATAAAAAGTAAGTTTATTCATATAACATTAATCGAGTCAATAATTTCTGGATACTGAATGAGTAGGGCTTGGCATATATTCGAATATTCAATTATTAGAATATCAATTTATTATTCGAAAATTTGGTAACAAGTAACGCGACAGGTCACTTGCGCGTCGTTTAATCAAATGATTGGATTTAGTAGTTGTTGTTCGAGGAATAATTTTTCTGGTAGGTGTCAATGGGGGCAACCTAAATTTTCTAAATTGAAAAGCGGCAATACAAAATACTGAAAATAAAACTGAAAACACCATAAGTTTTTTAAAAACGCTTCTTTAGACATGTTGCAAATTGCAAAATTTCGGGTGCTAATGTAGTATTCGTATCAGGGCATTTCTCTCATAATTCTTTGCTTTACTGCAGAGTCTGCAACCTACGGCCAGCGGAGCAATATAATCAGGCCCGCGACGTTTCTCTGAATTATAGTGACAAAACAGCTGTTTTTTGCGATTATATTATTTACGTGACAGAATTTATTTTGTGGCACGTTTAGACTAAATTATATCATAACCTTACAAGTATATAGTTCAATTATACTTAGGCATTCAATGGCAACAAAACGCAGAAAAGTTGAACGCTAAGTGCAATTGGTTCAATATTCGAATGGTCAGTCTTCGGGCGCTGCTTAGAATTTAACTTCTGATCTGTATGAAAAAATGTGATTCATTGGCCATACGCCCGGCTTTCAACTTTCTAAAAATATGCGTGGCCCACCAATGACTTGCAATCTTTAATTTTGGCCTGCGAGCGACAAAATGTTGCCGACTCCTGGCTTTACTGTTGTACGAACAGCTCATATTTGTCGAATTCACAAAAATACGAGTCGCAGAGTAAAATGATCACAATTAAATTAATATTAAAGCAAGGCGATGAATATTTTTTATTTTTATTTACTAATATACTAATTATATTTTTAATAAGTACTAAATCAAGTTGTACTTTCTAGAAATTTATAGCAGATAGTAGGATTTTTCTAACGGCGATAACAAATTCGCAAGATCGCAAATAATTTAAATCAAAACTAAATATAACCGGGCAATATATTCTCACATTATTATGTTCGCAGATTGCCGTGGCATTTAAAAGAAGTAAAGCTTTCATCTTGTCATAAGTCAACCGCGAGTGACCAGGAACACAATTAAATTAAAATAAGACAACATTTTAAATTCTTGTCGTTGTCAAGAATAGAATATTGTGCGACAGAAAGGACAATTTATACACTAAAGAAGTCGGCCCTTTTAACGAAGGCCTAATTGCGTAGCCGATTTTGAAATTCGGAAAAATTCTATTGTGTTTGGTTTTATTACTTCTTCACACAGAATACGTTTGCAAAAAACTCACGTTGAGTCCGCAAAGGTTTTCGCCAGAGAGAAAATAGTCCGCGACCAAAAAAGGTTGGGAAACGCTGATGTAGACAGATGGTATTTGAAAATGTAATACTACATTCGTATTATCGGCGACTATACAAAATCATTTAATTAGATAATATTGCGACAGATCATGAGAATATTATGTATTCTGTGAAATTTACAAAAATCTATGTCTTTAGGGGATTCAGGCGCGTGTATTACCAGGATCATCAACGGACGTTTCGTTACTCAAGGACATTGCGAGAAACCTGACGGAGAAGGTAATGCTTTCTATGATCAAATGAAAGCATGCAGCAAATATTTCATAAAATTAAAATGAGTGAGTAATAATTAACTAGCTGGCCAATAACAGAGAGATGTTTTCTAGTGTATATTCATATCATAATAATAAATAAATCTCCAAAAAAGATGGGTTTACAGATAGTATGACTTACTGATATCAGGTTTATGTTTGGTAAATTCAACTAAATTTTATATTTCTTGAACTCGACGCCTAACTTTATAGAAATGACGGCAATTTGGCCATTCTATACAATAAAATGAATCAGTAAAATATTCAAATAATAAAAACATATTGAAAAATTAATTTTTTTTAACCCAAACTTTCTATTTTTTCTATAAATGATATGAAAATTTAATCCCGCATCGTTTTTCTCTGTCAGATATTGTTGATCAACTACGTAGAAGGGTTAATGCGGCCAAAGAAAGGGGTTAGTTGCATAATTTATATTTTCAAAGAAATTTAATGGATGCAAAGAATTTCTGCGCGCTACAAAATGATGTTCCGCATTTTACTTTAAAGTATCCCGTTTAACTGATATAATATAATTTAAGTAATAGGCTAATGCCAAAATGTTTCACAAACCTTTTTATTCACTGAAAAGCTAAAATGACAATTGATCAGCTTTCGTTGGATTAGATTGAATAAAAAATCAGTCATGAATTATATTTTACAGAAACGTGCCCGATCTACTATAACGGTAAATGTATCTGGCCAATTAAAGTTGGTGAAAAAACAACAAACTTTGCTAGTGCTATCTCGGTTTGCACAAATATTGGTCGAAAACTCGCCGACATCACAAGTAAAAAGCAATATAATCTTATTGCTTCATACATGGAACCATGGTTAGATGAGGATTCAAATCGAAATCTTTATATTTGGACTGGAATGAAATACAGTTCTAAGGTGAGAATCAAATTTTTTAAATTGAACCCTATTAGGCTGGCTTGTGAGATTGAATTATGAGAAGTTTTCAATCCAGCAACTATAGTAGACAACTCATATGCGGCACTTTTGCTCATTTTACTGGTGTTATTACATGTTATGGATTATTACATTACGTTTATGGAAAATCTTTGGCATTGTCCCAAAGTCGTTTGTGGACATTATTAGCCCTTCCGAGCAGCATCTCAACAAAAGTTTTATATCAAAAGTTTACACAAAATATCCTGATAACAAAATATTTATCTTGTCGAGATTTGATGAATATTTTAGATCCTGGCAAGCCAGAAAGTATTTGCCTCAATTTCCCTCAATTTTGGGTGAGAATGCGATATTTTTATTGGTGCATTATATATATAATCGGGAAATTACAAAATATGATTCCCATATTATTTTACTTAATGTATGTTGTATATTCAATTTTTTTTTCAATCATGATCAATACTTTGTTGTAAAGATATTACACACGATACCAGCGGAATCAATACTCGCTTCAAACCGATTTTTTTTACAGATTAAAAATCTGACGTACATCGATGGTACCAAACCCAACTGGTTGTTAAAATATCCTAATCTGCCAGCAAAAGAAAAAAATGTAGGAGTGGTAATAGGAATATCAGATGCACATGAATTTATTGATTATCGATATTGGAATAAAGTAGGCTTTGGTGCTTTATGCCAGTAAAGTTATTATATATATCTTTGTAGCAACACCATATATTGACTATATCGGTATCGGATGGATGTGGACCGATTTTTTAATCATGAACAAATATATAAATCGAATATTAATGGATTTTCCAATGAGTATACTACAAAATATGTCGTTATATAGGTACAATCCTGCGCACGATCGATAGGAAAAGTAAATATTCATTTATTTTACCACCCACAGTAGCCAAACCCTTGGAGTTTTCTAATTGAACACCAAGATTACTATCGTCAGTATATAAAGCAATTTCTTATTCTGTGATATATATATATATATATATATATCTTTCCAATCTGAATTGATGTGCGCTATGAATATTGCTCAAAGACTATTGTTCCAACCTTTAAACTATTCTACACACTTGAGATAATAATTACATAGTATCGGAGTATCGACTTTTTTGGTGTGAAATTGTGTATCGGCGACAGTAGCGGTATCGGTACATCTCTAATATATACTGATCAAAAAACTAAAAATATCACCTGTTAATATTCTCATCTAGTTGTACAATATTTTCTCTTTTTTGATTTGTTGTTCACTTTTCGTCATTTCTTATTTTTTATTAAATCATGAAAAGAATAAATGAAGTCAATGTCGATGTTTCGAGGATTAGTCTTGATGAATTATGATAAAGAGGAATATCATCCAATTTTGCAATCATATGTCGAAGGCCTTGAAATTTAATCTTTTACTAATCTTCGTTACGCATATCGTTAGTATAGTTTAAAAGAAAAATGTAATATGATATTGGGGAAGTTTAGTAATATTCATATATAAATATATATATATATTGAAGAGGAATTATTGGAAAACGTCTCACGCGGTACACCGGTTGAAACCACTGATCTGTAGTATATAGCCCAAATTATTTTGTCTTAAGATTTGTGGGAATTTCAAGTGGCTTCGTCAGTTTACATCTAAATTGTGGATAGTTCTATCTTTGTATATAACTATAGATAGGGTTACAATATTTTTGTGACCTCACAGCGGGACGCCTCCAAAGACCATAGATGTGAATTTTTCAACTTTAAATTTACCGATTTTACATTAGGGGCCTACATTTAAAATCATCTCGGCTGTCTTCATTGGCCATCGAGTTCGTGCGCTGTCTGTCTAAATATCGATTTCAATTCGTAAATTAGAAATAAATTTACATTAACGTTAAGTACCCTTTTGGCGTACGGCGCTTACCAGTAACAAATTGTAGCAATTAAAACAACGGAAAAATCAAAACCACGCATTCACATTCAGTAAGTAGGCTACCGGTACGCTACACAGCAACAACTGTATTGAGAACATGCTAATTGGTATTGTTCGTGTATTATTACGACTGACGGAGCGCCAAAGCGGGACTTTTGGCTGGCTGGTCGGGACGCCAGGACAAAACGTTGAAATGTGGTACTGTCCCGCCTAAATCGGGACGTATGGTAAGCCTAACTATAGATATTCGTCGATTTATTTATGAACACTAGGTTTTGTACAAAACAATTCTCTTTCGAAATATCTGTTTTCATTAACCAGTCTTGCATTAAGATTCATACTGGGTTACGCGGACTGACTTTCCATTCAAAATCAAATGTTCCCGATGATTCGCATCTATATTTTTTATTATTCCTAGCATACAAGAGTCACAAACAAATTTAACGGAGTCAAATTGTTCATGGTATATAATATATATGCAGTCCAAGCCGACCCATAATCTGGCAACCCTGAATTTCACCATGCCACTCTCTTTATTCTGCAATTTAGGGGGTCAGTCTCTGTCATTCGGCTTTGGACTTTTGGTTTTGTGAGCGGGATTTTTCATATTTTATATAGATAGCTTAGGTTTGGAGTGATGGTTATACAAATAGATCAAATTCTGAGGAAATGGCGAAACGATCTGACCCACCGATGTTCATTACTGCAGTAATGAAATCTCAGCATCAAACATTACTTGGTCAATATTGGATCAGTGTTCTTGGTATTACCCGCGCAGTCAATCACACTATATATATCACTTCATATTCGTGGCTGGATGATAGCACCAGTTATTACCTACATTCATAGCAGAAAAAGATCTTTCAAATCTGCGGGGTGGTACAATAACTTAAGATTAGCATCACCTTCTGCTGCTGTTATGATAGTAGTATATATGTTAGACGTATCGATTATATTGTTACTGAAACTTAAACAGTAGCACAATTTGGCTAGGGAATGAGCAACAAATGCGTAACTTTTTATTTCACTGGACTCGGAGAGGGCTGGACTAACAGTACAACGATGCCGTGCTCTCTGTAATAGTGCGAATCGTTTTGTTATTGCTATAATAATGAGTTGTTTACATCCGTGACAGCCATGGGAAATCATCTTAGTATCCTTTGGGGATAGGATGGAAGAAGAACATGAATGTTCGGAACTTTAGCTTTCAAGTCATGGTAATACCTATATTTAATTTCATAATTTGTAATAATACTACCGGAAACGGGTTGTGTCGTCACTTCTCCGGTCATTTTCAAGCTCACCTGCGCTATATAACGGAAATATTTGTCGCGATAGAATATTAAATAGGTATTTTAAACGGCACGTTTTATGCAGAAACGGTTGGTTTGGTGTATTATCTTGCAATTTGTTTGTATTATGAAAACATATTGACTATGAATGGCCAGGGTGCTTTTTTGGTGACAGCAGATAGTAAGAGTTTCTACGACAAGTTAGGGGCCATGAATAGATGTCTGGTAAGGTGACTAGAGATGTAACGGTATTGGAAATATCGGCCAAATTTTCGGTAGTAGTCTATTGTAGAATACTCTATCTTCAAGTTCGGAAAATTTGTAAATTCATCGAAAAGCTATTTTTCACAATAACAACAGTAATACAGAGCAAGGTAGAGCGACCTATAGGTGTAAGACGTGTAATTCTAACCCACTTCACTAATGGTTCTTAACCTGAATGACAACAATTCAATGACCATATTCAGTGCGATGTATTTTACTTTTATGGACTTATTTAAATATATATATTTTGTATATTATTTTTCAAAATGCCTTAGTTGCAAACAATATTTCTTATTTGTTGTTTGTTTGTTTTTTGTAATTTTAATAGGTCTACCTTACTTCAACTTTACCTTTGATGTAAATTTTCTCTCGATATGCTTTTCTTTTTTTTTCTTTTATTATACATTTTGGAAAAATTGCTTTTACTGTGAATTTTTTCGATGTTGTGCCAAAAGAAGAGAATAAGCTTGTCAACTTATTTTATTGGCAAAGAAAATAAAATAAAGTTCTAGTCTAAGGTCTATGCAATCAACTAAAAGTTTTTAATTTATGGTAGTGAAAGACCTAAACTATGTATAGCTGAAATTAGTCTGTTTCTGATAATTGAAGTCCGGTCTAGTTGTTTAACTTCTTTACAACCGCACTATTGTTATCTGTGTTGATAATTAGGTTTATAAGGAAATGAAAAATCTAATCGCACGATAGCAGTTATCTGCCTCGTTAGTGAATATGGCACTTTAAAATATATACATATATATGTATATTTGCAAACCTTAAGTAGGCCAATAACTCAAAATGATTTTTCTAATCACGTAACATCTTCATCCGCAGTAGCAAAACGAGCATGCCATCAATGGCATTAAATAAATCTCAAACACAATCGGAAATTCTGGGCTCGACTTCATGCTGATGTCTCATGTAAAAGCGAAAGTATATTCTGTGGGTCAATAATTGTTGGCAAAAACTCCCGCCCTCCAATAACTATCAAAAATTGGGGAATCTTCTCTTTTTTCATTAAACACATGTATACCCACATATTCACAAAACTCTAATTAGGCCAACATATTGGTGCACAACCTGAACCCTGAGCTGGTACAAATACTATGTTCAGGATGTGCGCCATCTTGGTGCACATACTTCTGGAGCTCCGTATTATTTCCATTTTGTCTCTTTGCTATTTCCACACCATTTCCCCTCTGTCGGCAGTATTTGGTGCTGCTTACTGTATTTTACCGATATTTTGTCTCGGGGCAATGAAAAATTGTGGCACCTTATGTAAAAGAATATTTTCAGCCGTGTTTTTATTATTTAAAATTTGTATTTCAATACAATACGACATTTCCAGAATACAAGTGAATTAAAAGATTTCTAGATGCATGTATAATTCAAGATATATATAGAAAAAAAATCAATGTTCGTTCTTGCTGGAGTCCGTTCGTGTATGCTATGGTGACATTCTTCAATCACTGGCATCGTTGTCAGGCAACTCAAAACGTTTTGGGTAAACTGTGAAAAATAACATTCAATGTCAAAACACTTCAACACAGCAATCAAATAAAAAGCAACGCAATTTAATGTGAGAAACTACCTTTAAATATGCATTTTTCACATTAATATTTTATTTTTTTTATAGGAACATTGTAACTTTTTTATTCAAAGCAAATTACCAGACTTATCTGTGATTTGAAACTTTAAATTTAAACGACCCAGTCATATGAATAGAGTCAACAACAACGACCATTTATAAGTTTTGTCATGCGACTGCGTTTTATACTAAATCAATGTGATATTTTCAAAAAATAATGTTTATTTCTACAATTCAAACTCGAATATGGAACAAGAACACGGTACAAATTGCTTTTAGTCAATTGATAGTAGATAAGATAATATGTATAATGTACATCTTACTTTCCTTGAGTTCTTCTAGTTGACGAAGTAGATTCTCACCCAATTGGTCATCATCAGTGAACAATTCCTGCGAAGGGAAACATTTTTAAATATCTTACAGATTGAGAGTTATCAAATACTCATTTGTAACATTAAAAAAACTTTACCTGTAATGGTTTTTCATCCCAACTCCATCTAATTGCACGACGGATGACTCTAATAAAGAACATTTCGTCGATATAATGAGTAATTATTGGCTGGTTGTTCACGATCAAACGGTTGTTATTTTTATGCTCATCGTGATGATGAAAAAATGGACTAATCGATTTCACAACATAACATCAAAACGAAAGAAGTCGCTGGAGCGATATAACTTTTAAGCAATTTATCTCTTTTTGTAACCCAATATTTGAAACAAATTTTGCTCTTACAAGGCTACTCAACTATTTTTACCGAAGATCCACATGCACAACTTTAAAATTATATTTCGGCATCCTTAAACACGCACTTCCTCGGCTGGCTAATGATTATTAGCTAATCAAAATTGTTTAATATGGCGTTATAGTTCTTTTCATATATATTCAAAACTATAAAAGTGATTTTATAGAAGAAAACCTCAAAAGTGGGGCTAATGATCCGCAATAAAGAATTAGGTGCGTTCCGAATCAAATACTCGAAAGATCCTGAGTTGAGTAGCCATATATTACGTGGAAACACTCTTTTTATTATCATCAAGTATATTTATCGAAGAACAGCATCTTCTTTTACAATTGAATGTTGTGAAGCAGTGAAATTGGGAAAAAAATGATCAAATTCAATATAATTGTCTGGACAATATATTCAGATGAGGCATTTTTTTAATTTATATCTAAATTTCAGCATATAAAAAAACATACGCTTTTTTTGCAATTTTTCCC